GGTCACACTGGTCTAAGGTGGGCCCTAAATCCAATGACTGGTGTCTTTATAGGAAGGCCCTGTGAGGACAGAGAGGTACAGAGAGGGCCACTTGACAAAAGAGGCAGAGATTGGAGTGATGCAGCTAGAACCACCACTGGAAACCACCACTGGAAACCACCAGAAACTAGGAGACAAGCAAGGTAGAGATTCTCCCTCAGAGCAAGGTAGAGGTACTCCCTCAGAGCCTACAGGAGAAGCTAACTTGTTTGTATCTAGATATCAGACTTCTGGCCTCCTGAATTGCGAAAGAGTAAATTTCTGTTGTACTAAGCCACCCAATTTTTGTTAATTTGTTAATTTGTCATGACACAGAAATAGAGCATCTTGTAGGTGTTCATAAATAACTGCCAATTGATATCCTTCCAAAGGGAGAATTAATTAAGTCTATAGGAATGTAGACAAGAGAGGCACTTCTGTAGTAATTTTAAACAAAACACATTCTGGTGAAGAAAAGCTTTTTTTCTTCTTTCTTCTTGTCCTTTCTTTTGTAGAAAACACACTATAGTTAATGTACAATGCTTTAGTACAATTGCATTTTGAAAGTTTTGGTCTCATTTATATTACATAATATGAATTATAGTAAAAGAATCTGACAAATGGATCAAATTTCATGCTTCAAAATGATGTCACACACAGATAATGCCAAGATTTTATCATTTACCTTCTGTCAACAGTCACAGCTGGCTCAGTGCACCTATAACTTTGGGTTTCATTAACTTGACCACTCTTGGAAAGACATGGATAAGACAGTGTCTCACTTGAAGGTTTCAACCCCAGGCAAGTTTACTCTGGATTTGATGAGACTGAAAAATGGCAATGAACGTTCTTAGGGTTAAAAAGGTTTATACTGGCTTTATTCTCGTGGTGGTAGGTTGAGCACTAGAATCATGTCTGCATCCAGTAGTCTGCAGGTCTGTAATCCACTCTGTCTCTGCCTCTGCCCAGAGCACTTGGGGGAGCTCTTGATAGAGTGGCTCTGTCAATAATAGTTCATTGCCAAAGGGTGTGGAAGTAGTAGCCTAGCAGTAGGCCAATTACATCATCAAGTAGTTTAGGGTCAGGTGAGTATCCTGGCCATAGAACTTCCATTTTCCCCACAAATAAAGTATATTTGCAACACTTCTGAGAAAAAACTAATGCAATGTGTTTCTTCAATTGGTGAGCTTTCATGGTGTTGTAGGACATAGAGGAAAAAGTGTAAGAAAGATAAAAATAAGTGAAAATTGTTATTTTTTTCACCAATGTTTTTCCACATCAAGAATGTATTTAGAATGGATTTATATACTTTGGATAGTCATAGATAAGTATGTTAATGAGTCTGGGGAAAGTATTCTTTGAGTGAGTTATAGAAAAACACTTAAATGGTCCATAAAGGCATGCTTATGCAGACATTCTAATGTTCTATCACCATCTACTTATCAATGTGCCAAATTACATTTAGACTTTTTCCCTGGCCAAAGTGGATTTATTTCCTGAAGACTGTCTTGCCAATGGATTTCAGCCCTGGGCAAGTTCACTATGGATTCAATGTGACCAAAGAAATGACAGTAGAACGTTCTTGGGGTGAAAGGGTTATACCCAACTTTATTTCCACAGTGGCAGGTCAGTCACTAGAATCCCATCCACTCAGAGCGAGTCTGCATTCAGCAAGCTGGTCTTTGCCTCTGGGCCTCTCTACCCCTGCAGCCATCTCAGTCTCTGTCCTTGGTGCTGCCACCATTCCAGTCTCATCTCTGCTCTCCTGTAGCCTTGCAGCCATGCCACTGTGTTGCCCAGAGTACTGGGTGGAGCTCTTTATATAGAGTCAATAAGCACATATTGCCCACACGTGTGTAGTGAGCTAGCTGACCAGGGCCAGGTGAGAATCCTGGCCACAGGAACCTTCACTTTATCCACAAAGACTAAAGGAAATTTTTTGAACATTTGCTAAATCTACAAAATATGTTCATGAATTTTAAAAAGTCACACTGAAAATAATATACTAAAAATGGTCTGTTTATATTTCTCTACCATTAGTTTCTGAGCTCCTCAATGTAGGTTAGAGACTCTGATTTATTTTCACATCCATAGTAGCTAGCATGCTGCTTAGCAGTGAGATAAATGAAATGTTGGGTAGCGTTGGATAAATGTCAGAAATGTTTAGGCAATTTACACAATTATAGTAGTTTTCATTGGTGGCTGGACCCGCACAGGCATCCCCGTGTGTCACTCTGCCAGGCTCAGCTCAAGCCACCCTCAGGTCACCCACAGCCGAGCACTGCTGCATGACTCTCAGACGAGGGCTAGGGAGGGCAAGTGGCGGCGAGCATTCCCGGGACCGTGCACCATGTGCTCGCCCTGCCTGTGCCGGGCGCCCTGCCTCCCATGGGCTGCGGGCCTCCTGTGGTTCTTCCGCCCTGGTGTCTAGGTGAGGGAGGTAGGCTCAGGCCAGCCTCTGGGGGATGGCGGAGCTGATTTCTGAACCCAGGGCCACTAGGCATCCGAGCTGATAATTAATCACTCTAAATTTGGAAATGGAAAATTTTAGAAATTTGTAAATCAGAGGACATGGTCTTCAGTCACGGGTCCACCAGATACATATCTAATCCAAGTACTATTTAGGAGTAAATATGAAAATTAAACATTCATTTTTGAAGGGGGTTTAAAAATCCATCATACCATCTAGCTCACTACTTGGCATTTGTAAGTACTCACCAAGTTTTCCCAAATGAACAAATAAATCATTAATAATAAGAATGTGATGTTTTATAGTGTTTTTTATTATATTTTGGGCCTCCTCTTCCTGCCTATACAGCTACGTATTTTTTAACCTTATTCAAGTCTTAGAAACTACATACGATTTACCTGGAAACAATCAGAATTTACACCATGAGCTCCTCAGGCAGATGTAAATACGACATGAAATGATATTTTAAAAATCAAGAATAAGATAACCACCAAATTTCATGTAGAGCTTGGCTGGGGGTTCCAGGGAGTAAGGGGCCTGGGCCTCGGCGCCTCGAATGGTCACTGTGTGAGGACCTGTGATGTGGAGTTTCTGCATGAGTCACTTCAGGTCAGAAATCACATTGACGATGGAAGACTGGAGGCAGGGGGTGGGGAGGACGGTGGTGGTGGGCAGAGAGTAAGGCCGCAGCGGAGAAGGTAGTGGGGAAGACCCCGAGGGGCTGAGAAGGAAGGAGTGGGCAAGCCAAGTAATGGGGCCCCCCAGGTACTGGGGGCCGTTTCTCCCCTCGTTCAGCCCATGTCAATTGAGCATTGACTGTGTGGAAGTTACAGTAAGTGAAAGAAATAAAGCTCCCTGCCCTACAGAACTGTATGGGGCTGGCGGAGGGTCACAGGGAAAGCCAGACTGACCCCGGGGTGCCAGTGTCAGGGCGCTGATGGAGGCCATAACACGGCATGCAGGGAATCGCTTTCCCTGAGAATGGCACACACACAGCAACTCCAGTCTGTGTTAACCTCAGGGGCACTGAATTAAGATAATAAATTGTTTGGCTCATGTTTACTCACATCATTAGTCCATGTATGGCCATCTTATCTTTATTTGATACCTCAGGCTCACCTGACGAAGGTGGGCCTTGGCAGTCACCCACGTCTAGTCACAATGCACTAGCCTCTCCCCAGATGTCCCTTTGTATATCTTCAGTTTAACGCTTGTTTTCGATTTGCTTTGAAGGACACGCAGTCTGAAACTGCTTTGGCTCATTGACTTAGACTTTTCTGTTACTTTCTCTCTCTTGGACTTGCTGCCAGTAAACAAATATGACATGTACATCAGAAACTTTGGGAAAAAGAATACCAAGCAGGACAGTACAAGGTGTGCTGAGTAAGTGACAGAAATGCAAATGAAGTACAATAAGGTGAACTTGTGCAGCCCATTATCCTGTGCGGGAATCCTGGGCCTTGGGAGTGGCACGGAGGGTGTTGCCTTGGGAAAGGGTCCCCTTCCTCACTGGTACTCGTGAGCCCAGAGAGGCGACCTGGTCTCCACAGGCACCCCACCTGTCTGTTCCTCGTTGTCCATGGCCTGTGCTCCAGGTGAGTTGTTCCCTAGTGACTTACACTGAATTCACCTAGTCCAGAGTTGCTCTGGTCCATCCCCCAGAATTTTGTGCTTCTCTGTGGTATTTCCAGTCACTGTGTGGTGGTCCACCTTCCAATCAGGCTGTGAAGGTTTGCAGTCAGAGGTCCTCCCTCACCTCCTCCTATGCTCCCGATGGTGCCACCAACCAGCTTGCTCTCTGGGCACACTCGGTGGGAAGGTCACAGGATGAAAAAGCTGATAGACGAACCCTTGTTTTGCAGCTGGCTCACTCTGACCTTGAATAGATGGTGTAACTTCTTTGCTTGTTTCCTCATTTCAAAGCTATTAATAACAAAACTCTTTACTGAAGCATCTTCCTTCTTGAAATAAAATTGCAATTGGTTTTGCAAAGCCAGAATGTTCAAGAGAATAGGATGAAGGTGGACAGGGTGGCGGGATTTTCAAACCAAAGCTAAATCGCTTGGTGTGCCACTTTGAAAGCACCTTGAAAACAAGAACTGTTCACATTGACATCTGTGGCACAGGCCGTGTTCCCATGAATGCCACTCATGCCACAGCACATCCACTCGGAAGAGGCCTGAGGCTGCCACTGCCAACTTTAAAGTCGAGATCATTTTCTTTTCTGCGATGAGAGATGGCTCTGGTGGTGCGACCCGCTGCTAAGTCCAGCATACGTTTGTTTTTAAGGCGTATATTCAGTGTAATGAAGATAACGCTGAGAGAGACATTCAGACCGAAGAGGTTGAGGTGCGGGAGGTGTGGATCCAGCACCTGGGAGAAGGTGCTGCCATGTCGGGGGTAAACAGCTCTGTGCTCTGGGCCGATGGGAGTGGAGTATCTGGTGGTTTCTGGGGTCACCTTTCTTGTTCTTCCTTAGATCTTTCACTGGGGGTGGTTGTCAGCACGTGGCATGGAGGAGCGAACCAACTTCTGCGAGCTGCTGACTTGGGTGCTGCACTGGAGGCTCGGCTGGGCCCTGAGTAGGGTTCACGGCGCTTTTACCCTTGACATGAGGGGCACACCCATGTCCCGGCGGGCTAACACAGACAGGCTGTGCTGCTCTGCTTCCACCCTGGGGGCAGGCTGTTCTGCTCAGTAGAGTTTTCATATTTAAGGACCAGATGTGTTTCATACCTAAGTGTCAGACATGTTCACGGTATAGGCATGGGGCCCACAGCACACATGTTTGACACCAGGTCCCTGGAGCTGCATGAGTGCTGATGGGTGGTCTGCTCTGGGGGTATCTGTGGGCAGGGGTCCCCTCACTCCCCTTCCTCATGGAGGCTCACCCTGTGAGAATAGCATACCTCATGCTCGCGTAACAATTGAATTGGCACCTCTAACTATTGTCCTCAGTGTTTCAGGGAAATTCCGTGTAGAGACTTTCTATAAAACAAGACTTAATTGTTTTTGAAAAAGTCACTAGCAGATCTCGGGAATAACTGTAAATCTCTCTGACTTTTCCTTCCAGGGCCAGTTTGTAACACCTCTTTGGATTCGAAGGCATGTGAGGCAGACTCCTTTAGGGTCACATTGGTTTTCTAGGGGCTGAGGATGGCGCCGTCTCTGGCACTGTGGCTGCACCCAAGGTTGACACACCAAGACTGTCCAGCTTCCTCCGGGCGGCCTGCCAGGTACACCATGTGCTCTGTGTCTCCACAGTCATAAAGCCCCGTGTGTGGGTGACCCACTGACGCATGTCACAGCAGCTGCCTGTGGGCTTGGGTCTGTGGCTTCATGCCAGCTGCACACGTGTCAAAATAAATGCAGACTGAAAAGCAAGTGTATTAAGTTGGCAAGGCATGTACACTTCTTGAGTATTTGACCCATGTCTTTTAAACTAATTATAGAAATTTTCAAAATGTGTAAAGGGAACAGCAGGGTGCACCCATGTGCTTCAGCAGCTATTGACTCACAGCCAACCTGTCTCATCCAAGCCCCCATCCCCGCACCCCCTCAGTTACTCAAAACAAGTTGTGGTCACCACACCATCCTCTCCATGGCTACCTTGGCCCTGCTGATGTTTCATAACATCACTGGGTTTCCTCAGCTGACTATGTGTTTTTCATGTCGGCTCAGAATTTAAGTAAAAAAGCTGCAGTAAGTACAGTAAATATGGAATGAGCCCGTTTCTGTCTATTCTGGACACCAGGTGCTTACACCCTCTCTTTGCCCCCTTAGGGAGTCTGTGTTTCATGAAATGTGATCATGCCCTCATGTAATCTGGAATCCAGTCAGCTTCTCTTTCAGCATAAGTTCAGGGGCATGAAGAGGAGAGGCTTTGGGTCAGGGTCGGGAGGAGGACAGCTGTGCGGTGGGAGTGGGGTGCAGACACAGAGCCAGGTTGAGGCTGACCTGGACCTCATGGCTCTGTGCGAGCTTCTGCAGCCTGACCTCCATGCCCATCCCGTCAGGACCCAGACAACAGTGCCCACGCCAAGTCTGCCCCTGCTCATCAGCGTCCTGCACAGGCCTTTTAGGGCAGTTACAGAGACCCTGCTCAGCCTGGGTCCCCACGGTAGCCCCATGAGGAAGACAGTATGGGGTGTGCACAACATCATCTACACCCTTACTCATCAGGATTGCTGGGCAGTAGCTGTTTTGCTCTTCCTTTGTATTTGCTAAGAAAACGCCTTCTGACGTACATGCCGGCTGATCCGTGGAGTTCCCACTGGTGGAGGTTTACCTGTGTCTGCCCTTGTGCAAGAACAGTAAGAGTGCATTCTGTTATATTTATGATGTCTTGGAGTTAAGTGGTTACTTTCAGACATGGGGAAGGTGAATAGGTAATTTGTGTGTGTTTTTTCTTGTAAAAGTATGCTTGAGTGTGTTTATTAAGGACATGATTGTCTTTGAAAGGTGATTGCAGTTCTGCTGGGAGAAGACCATGTGGTGGCCGAGCCCCGCTGGAGCCATGAAGCACAGGGCAGTGTGTTGCCTTTCAGCGACAGCACCTTGCATCTGGACACCAGCCTGCTGTTCCTCCAGAGTAAGGAGCTGGCCCAGTGCATCTTGAATCCACCACTAGATGTTCAGTGGGAAGCATGATCTTTAATATGACATCCTGTGTTAATGAGGTGGGTTTATTTAATGTGGAATGGAGATCCTACCTCTGTGGGACTCTGGGGTGCAGGGTGAGGTTTTCTTAGTGTGTCTGTTAGAATCATGAACTCTCATGAGATAATGAGTAGTGGGACACAGGAACTTAGGCGAATGGACCCTAAGGTTTTCTGTGTTCTAAATCCTTTTTTCAGGCCTGTTCAGTTTCTTTATTTCTTGGAATAGGGAAGTGTGAGTGTGGCTCTGAGAGTGGTGTTCCTACCTTAGCCACAGTGTGACAGGCTCAGCAATGCCCTGCAGCTCCTCCCTCAGACTTCACCCTGGTCACAGAACAGGACCGCTCACCCCGGGAAGCCCACAGCACCAAACAGAGGTGTAGCTGCAGGTCACCATTTGTTAGTTTAAACAAACTGCATTTGCACGACCAAATTTAAATTTCTTAAGTTGGTCACCAATTTGCCTTTTAAAAAAGTAGCTACTGAGGCAGTGGGTGCAGCTGGGGTCCCATCTGTGGGGGTAGGCACACAGGTGAATCTGCCCTCTGCCAACTGCTCCTGGGCCTGCAGAAGCCAGGGCACCTGTGCGAACTAGGGTTTGCTCTGTCCTGCCTACTGCTCAGAGGTCGTTAGATTCATGTATGTTCCTCTGCATTTGACAGTGACAAAAATGGTATCATTAACTTAAAAAAACCTCATGTTCTTTGTATTTTTGTTTTTAAAAGATAAGAGTTATCCTACTAGAAAAATAGTCAGTCATTGTATCTGTAGCATTCAAAGCATGGATCCTCGCACTCCTACCGCCCTCTGCACGCCAAGACACGGGAAGTAATAAAGTGCGTTTGTGGGAGCTGGTGTGTGCCTGCGGCTGTGCGGGCTGCAGGGAGCGGGGGATGCCCCGCACGTGTGCTCTCATGGGGCTTGGCCCTTGTGCAGTGGGTCTGAGTTCTGGAGGTGAAGAGTGGAGGTTTTCTTACTCATTTTGTGAAATGAATTTGAGGTAATAGAAGGAAAATAGGGTTGGGATGACAGGTGTCTGGGAGTGAGCAGCTCATCTCCCCTGTGGCCTGGGCTTGCCACACACACCCGGCTCTGTCTCAGGAGGACCATGAGCCAGTCTTCATGGACCTCCTCTGCGCCGGCACTGCTTCCAGGATGCACACAGCCGGCACACAGCTTTGCATCTGGACACCAGCCTGAGGCGGCTGGCTCATGCTCCTTTATTCATTTGTCTAATGATGACTCAGTGAGTGTCCACAGCATCCCAGGCACTGCTGGGATTTGACTGTGGGCAGACAGACAGACAAATCCTGCCCTCCTGGTGGGTCAAATTGGCTAAAAACTGCTGAACAAGAGAAATGTCAGAGGGGAGTGTTCTAAAGAGAAAAACAAAGTGGGCAGTAGTTGCCACCCCTGATGGAGAAGGCCTTGCTGCAGGAAGACCACCGGGATGAGAGGGGTCCTGGCCGGGTGCGTAGGGGCAACTCCAGAGCACATTCAGGCAGCCTGGTCTGGCAGAGTGGCTAGTAGGTGAGGGAGAAGGCATGTTGTCCAGATTTGAAGGGTTGCTTTTCTGCAAAACCATGCGGCTGACTCAGACAGTGTTCAGGCAGAGCCGTGGCCATTTTCAAAACCCACACCTCGTGTGTGTGTCCAGCTGTGAAAAGACCATGTTTGCTGCTTCAGTAAGCTGAGATTTTCTTGAATGTTCTCAAGTCTGTTAATTTAACATGGATTCTGGCACATCACTACAATGCAGAAATATCATTCTCCCTTTATTCCTAGATCGAGAAGTGTCTCTTCTGCATACCTCTCAGGTGCAGAGACAGAGAGTGGTGTCTGTCCATGGTTGGTCTGGGAAGGCCTTCAACCCTGTGCTGGATGGCAGATATGTGCTCTGTGTGTGGGATATCTGGCAGTCTTCAGGGCCTCAGAAGGTCCTGATATGTGAGTCAAAGGTATGTCTCCAAGAGTCACAGCCTTAGCGAGAGGAAGGGCATGCAGCACGAGGGCCAGTGCTGGGGCAGGCACCACATGCCAAGAGGGGACAGTGACACAGAAGAACAGGAACTTAGCAGGCGCACTCTCACTACGAGCAGGTGTGACGAGACATGTGCGTGTGTCTGTTTCATCTCTACAAATTCTTAGCTCAAAGGACCCATTCAAACTGAGGAAATCCAGGGTCACTGCAGCCTTGTGGGTCTGTTGGGAATCAGTGCCATGTGACTTCAGGTCTCACAACAGCACAGGCCACTGGGCGTGGCTGTGGGAATATGCCTTTTGGCTTGTACCGTGTGGGTCATGGACATTTTAGAGGCTTCTTAGTATGCTTGGGGTTTTCAGTCTTCGGTCCTGCACACTGCAGGCCCTGGTTAATGGGGCCAGTGGGGTTGGCAGGACAGCTGTCCCTTCCACGTGCTTTCTTTGGGGTTGGGAAAATGCATGCTGTGATTCTCCAATTCATGTGCTCCTTGACATCAGAATCATTAATTCTCCACAGCTGTTGGATCATAACTTTCAGGTGTCAGTTTTTGGGGTTTGAAAATAGTAACTTTTTGCAATAGCAGATTTAAATAAAATGAGAAAGAAATGCTTTTCTCTCCTGGTCTTGGCTAATTGGGGTAATGGAGGGTGTGGCACACCACCACCAGGCTGTTTGCAAAACACCTGAGCTGTGGCTGCCAGTCCTCAGTATACCTCCTGCTTGCTGAGTCCCACAGCCCCTGGTGGGAGGGTCACAGGGGCCCATGGGACACGGGGAGGCCGGAGCCCCATGTTCCCATCTCAAGCTTGCTATGTGTCTTCCTAGGTCACATGTTGCTTTAATCCTTTTAAGGCCTTTTTGCTGTTTGCTGGAACAGCCCATGGCTCAGTGGTCATGTGGCACCTACGGGAAGACTCCCGGATACATTGTTATGTGAAGCTGAGCGACTGCTTCTGGACATTCAGGATGCCGACATTTTCCACCGGTCAGTGTCCTCTAGGAAAGCTGCGACAGGTTTGAGGAGCATCTGAAATTTCTTTACATTTTTGATTCAGATTACCCCAGGGGATGGGGTCTGACCTTGGAGGAAAAAAGAGACATTTGATAAATAGAAAAAACAAAAGATCCATCTGGGTCGTGCATGGCAGTGGCCACCCACAGCTACGGTGTTCCTAATTCAGTGCAAGGCTTCTACATCCTCAATGGATGACTTGGTCTATGTCAGCTGAAGGCTGATTGCCATATGCTCTCTCTGTGTTCCGCAGACACTGTCCGGGTGATGCCAGTCCCAGCCTATATCCCAGCTGCTCGCACCTACCTCCTGGTCACTCTGACATGGGGGCAGGGCCTGCGCTCAGACCCTGGCGCCCTCACTGTCTGTCTCTGTGTTCCTACTAGGCCCCTACCCCACCCACACTTGGTTTTGTGGCTCCCATTTCCACCCACACTGACAGTTTTCTCTATATATAGTTTTACCTTTTCTAGTTGTGCAATAAACAGAATCACACAGAACGCAGACCTTTGAGCCTGGCTTCTCCCACATCGTGTGTTTGCCACCTGGCGTGCTGTGCATGTCGGTGGCCCCCCTTCCGGCTGGTCAGTACCCACTGTGTGTACTGCACTTGCCCGCCCTTTGGTCCAGTCCTGGTGGCTGGTGCCCATGAATGGGGCCTGGAGAAGGGCCCTCATCCTCACTGGCAGCTCCGTGTGCTCTGACCCCTGGATGGGACCCTCACTCCGGCCAGCCACTGTAGCGCTCTTCAGGCCATGGAGCCCATCTCCACAACCGTCCATAAGAAGCAGAATTTTGCGCTCTCACCCATTTCTCCTCAGGAGGGTACATGGCCCTCCCTCTCCACGAAGCCCCCATCAGCAGCTAGGACATGCCATCATCATTCACGAGCCACTTCTTGTCTCTGTTTCTGTTAGAAATGTCGGAGTTGTCGTTCCATATCGCCTCCTTGGATGAAAGCAGGGTTCTCAACATGTGGGTGAGTATGGCTTGCCAGGGCACCTTATGCACAGGCTCCCCACCTGCTGACCTGAGTCATGGTGTGGTGAGCGCCTGCGGTCTGTGGTGAGACCACGGCACGGCTGGATTGCCAGGAAACTTCCCGGGGCTCCCGGAGGTTCATCAGGCTGGATGACAGGGCCAGGAGGCGGCTGGAGGGTGTGCTGAGGTGCTGGCCCAGACCAGCACCCAGAGAAGGGAAGTGGGCGGGGTCGGGAGGAAGAGCCTATGAGCTGCTAGTGCTGAAGTGAACGTCCTCCCTATGGGGCAGTTACAGCCGGTGCCTGACACCGCGAGCAGCCTGCGTGAGCCCGTGCTTTGCTCAGATTGTCTGATATTTGCAGTGTATTAATACTCATTTCCAATATTCTGTTCTCAGGTGGTGCTTGAATTATCAAAGCCAGATATTGCAGTTCAATAAGTGATTTAGGTAACTATTAAGTTGAAAATATTAATTTTAGTCAGAGTTTTCTAAAATGAATAGAGATTAAAGATACAAATAACCACTTTAAAAAGTAATTAGCTGTGTGAGAAATGAAGTCAGGTGTGACCTTACCCACATAGAGCAGGAGCTCAGAGTGAGTGAGTGATGTGCCGCTGGCGGGATGATCCAGTCAGGGGCAGGGAGGGCTCTTCACGCTGTGATTTCTGCTCTGTGGGGNCCTCCTGCTTGCTGAGTCCCACAGCCCCTGGTGGGAGGGTCACAGGGGCCCATGGGACATGGGGAGGCCGGAGCCCCGTGTTCCCGTCTTGAGCTTGCTATGTGTCTTCCTAGGTCACATGTTGTTGCTTTAGCCCTTTTAAGGCCTTTTTGCTGTTTGCTGGAACAGCCCATGGCTCAGTGGTCGTGTGGGACCTACGGGAAGACTCCCGGATACATTGTTATGTGAAGCTGAGCAACTGCTTCTGTACATTCAGGATGCTGACATTTTTCACCCGTCAGTGTCCTCCAGGAAAGCTGCAGCAGGTTTGTGGAGCATCTGAAATTTCTTCACATTTTTTGTTCAGATTACCCCAGGGGATGGGGTCTGACCTTGGAGGTAAAAAGAGACATTTGATAAATAGGAAAACCAAAGATCCATCTGGGTCATGCATGGCAGTGGCCACCCACAGCTACAGTGTTCCTAATTCAGTGCAAGGCTTCTACATCCTCAATGGATGACTTGGTCTATGTCAGCTGAAGGCTGATTGCCATATGCTCTCTCTGTGTTCCACAGACACTGTCCGGGTGATGCCGGTCCCGGCCTGTACCCCAGCTGCTCGCACCCCCCGCCTGGTCACTCTGACATGGGGGCAGGGCCTGTGCTCAGTCCCGGCGCCCTCACTGTCTGCCTCTGTGTTCCCACTAGGCCCCCACCCCACCCACACTTGGTTTTGTGGCTCCCATTTCCACCCACACTGACAGTTTTCTCTATATGTAGTTTTACCTTTTCCAGTTGTGCAATAAACAGAATCACACAGAACACAGACCTTTGAGCCTGGCTTCTCCCACATCGTGTGTTTGCCACCTGGCGTGCTGTGCATGTCGGTGGCCCCCCTTCCGGCTGGTCAGTACCCACTGTGTGTACTGCACTTGCCCGCCCTTTGGTCCAGTCCTGGTGGCTGGTGCCCATGAATGGGGCCTGGAGAAGGGCCCTCATCCTCACTGGCAGCTCCGTGTGCTCTGACCCCTGGATGGGACCCTCACTCCGGCCAGCCACTGTAGCGCTCTTCAGGCCATGGAGTCCATCTCCACAACCGTCCATAAGAAGCAGAATTTTGCGCTCTCACCCATTTCTCCTCAGAAGGGTACATGGCCCTCCCTCTCCGCGAAGCCCCCATCAGCAGCTAGGACATGCCATCATCATTCACGAGCCACTTCTTGTCTCTGTTTCTGTTAGAAATGTCGGAGTTGTCGTTCCATATCGCCTCCTTGGATGAAATCGGGGTTCTCAACATGTGGGTGAGTATGGCTTGCCAGGGCACCTTATGCACAGGCTCCCCACCTGCTGACCTGAGTCGTGGTGTGGTGAGCGCCTGCGGTCTGTGGTGAGACCACGGCACGGCTGGATTGCCAGGAAACTTCCCGGGGCTCCCGGAGGTTCATCAGGCTGGATGACAGGGCCAGGAGGCGGCTGGAGGGTGTGCTGAGGTGCTGGCCCGGACCAGCACCCAGAGAAGGGAAGTGGGCGGGGTCGGGAGGAAGAGCCTATGAGCTGCTAGTGCTGAAGTGAACGTCCTTCCTATGGGGCAGTTACAGCCGGCGCCTGACACAGCGAGCAGCCTGCGTGAGCCCGTGCTTTGCTCAGATTGTCTGATATTTGCAGTGTATTAATACTCATTTCCAATATTCTGTTCTCAGGTGGTGCTTGAATTATCAAAGCCAGATATTGCAGGTTCAATAAGTGATTTAGGTAACTATTAAGTTGAAAATATTAATTTTAGTCACAGTTTTCTAAAATGAATAAAGATGAAAGATACAAATAACCACTTTAAGAAGTGATTAGCTGTGTGAGACATGAAGTCAGGTGTGACCTTACCCACATAGAGCAGGAGCCCAGAGTGAGTCAGTAACGTGCCGCTGGCGGGATGATTCAGCCAGGGGCAGGGAGGGCTCTTCACGCTGTGATTTCTGCTCTGTGGGGTGCATGTAAGCATAGTGCTAGCCCCTTGCCTTTCCCACGGGCTGTCCAGGGCCCAGAACCCCATCCTTATGTGTGTGCACACTCTGGGGTCTGGGTCCTTAGGGGAGATGCATCTGCTCCCTGCCCTTTGTGTTTGGCATGGTGCCACCTTTGTGGTGACTTTGGAAGGGGTCTGAGACCGGTGCGGGCAGCCCCGTGTCAGGGCAGATGTGACAGGGTTCTCTGCACAGGCCTGCTGCTCTCATGCCTCATGGACCTCCCTGGTCTGTGCTGTTGTGTGGTCTAGCGCCCCTGACTTCCTAACACCTCACCAGCCCTGACCACTCACTGTCCCATGAAAGCCCCCTTTCTCTTGAATTGCTGGCTGTGCCCTGGGAAGATCCATCAAAAATCTTTTTTTTTGTTCCTGACTTCTGGAAATCAGAGAAGCGTCTTTATTCAGCGGGGCCAGTGCTTCACCTTCCACTGAGGTGTCAGTGGCATTGCTGGAACCTGACTTGGGCTCCGATAAGGCAAAGTCCGAATCATCTTACTGGTCTCACTGGTAAATTTATTGAGGTTGAGCTTAATAACCTTCAGTGTCTCCTTCATAGAGCATCCTCTGCTTATGATGAGACCTTCATGCTGCGTGTGTCTGTGGGAGGTGGCGGCACGGGGGCCTCGGGTGCTCTGCCCTTCCTTGGCATGGACTGCGGGCCATACTCCCAGGCAGGCTTGGAGCTGAGCCACCTCCCCAGGCCTGTGCCTGGCTCCCAGGGGTGTCACAGCCTGGAGGAGGGTGCAGCCTGAGCTGGCTGTGATGCCCACTTGTGCCATGACCCGGCACCTTTTCAGAACTGTGGTCGATAATAAGGCGGTACAGTGTCTGCTGCAGTTCACAGTCTGCCTGTGCAGATGAAATTATTTTGCGTGAAAATGCTTTGTAGTGTATGTGGGAAGTCATGTGAAGGATGCTGTAGAGCAGTGTGTGTCTCACTGTTAAATGTTGCTCTATGAAAATTTCCAAACATTGACCATGTCTCCACTTTGCTTTTGGGAAAAGAGGGAATGACATTCATATCAGCAAGCAGTGTGGAAAATCTCTGGGCATCAAATGCCTGCAGGAGAGGCTGGGTGGTTCCAATCTGTGTCTCATGAATGTCGGAGCAGCATCCGGCTGGAGGACTTCTCATGGTCAGAGCCAGCCGGCCGCTGTCTGTTCTCTTAACTGTTGGTCCCTCCCTGGGCACCAAGGGGCCATAGTGAGTGGGTGCTGGTGCTGTGCTATGAGACAGTGATCTCGTGGGGAGGATGCTGTGCCAACCATAGCCATTGCTGATGTCATTGCTGGATCAGAAGTGCTTGTCGTGCCAAGGGCCAGGGCAAGGAGGCCATCCAGGGTGGGAGGGGTAGCCTTTGGGGGAGGCTTTGAGCCCTGGGGTTCCTCCAGTGAGCTGGGAAGTGGGGGGTGTTGCCGAATCGAAACAGCAACATTGCACATTTGCATCAGTTATAACTGACAGGTAGTAAGATTCAGAACTGAGTCTGCGATACATGATTACAGCACCCTTTCCAACTGGAAGTTGAATTTATTTACATACTTTTAATCCAACTATTCCAAGGTTCTAGGTAGTACCTTTCCTGGATTTGGGTTTCAATATATATAAATACCCAGGGCCCCCCTTGCAGTAGTTCCAACACAAGAGGACAATGTTGGGACTAGACGAAGGTGGCAAGACCAGGGGACGGTCGAGGTGTGGCATGGCATTTTGGGATGTTCCAGGAAGGAATTGTAGCTCTGTGGCTGTGAGAAGGCGGGCAGTCGTGGGCTGAGGAGCCAGAGCCTCTGCGTGCATCTACAGGAGAGCAGGCAGGCATCAGGGCCAGTGTGTTGCTGATGGGCACAGGACCACCAGTGGGCATTGACGGCAGAGTGTCTGCTGGGCAGTTAGCGTTTTGTCAAGTGCTGACTTTTTTTGCTCAGTGTACTGCCCTTCTTTTATAAATCTAACACTGTGGTGGCTTCTTGACCCAGATTGCACCAGTCCTTGTCCTATAAGGCTCTGAACTGAAAATTCTTTATTCCTATGCTACAGCAAATACAAAACCTCCCCTGCTTGGGGGAGGGAATGATCTATATTCATCTACATTTTGATATTATTTTCTAACACGGACAATTAAGCAGTGACAAGTGATTCCAGGCAACTGTAATTGGATTTGGGTTCAACTTGTGTTGGGGGAGGGAGGCATTTATTTCTGGTTTCTCTACTTTCAGGTTTACTGCCAGGGGGGAGGATAAAATTGGTACACAGCGCTGTGATCCAGCTGAGTGGCAGGTGAGACTGTGCTTGAGAGGAAAGTCCCCATCCCACAGGATCTGTTCTCATGGAGGGAGGTGACATTGGGCCATTGCATGCACAGCAGATGCATGGTTGAAACTGCAAGAGGCGCTCCAGCTTCTTCACCTGTGCTTTTTGCTGGCTTATCTGATTATTAGTTCAGTATTAATGGGTCCAATGCCATGTATAGAGCTACATTTTTTCTTTGATTAAAATATTTTCTGTCTTATAAATTGGTACTATTTGATTATTTTTCATCCAGTTTTAATACAATCTTGAAGTTGGACTTAGATGAGTTTCAGGAACCAGAAATGTTGATATGAGAGTATTATTCAGAAATTTAGATTTCTGTTTTTATTCATATGACTTTATATACATAAAAAATTCTTATTAAATGTACAAATATAATTTATATGTTCCTTGGTAATTTATTTCCTGAAGATATCTTTTTTTGACAGTTACTGCAGTGAGGGGCTGTCAGCCTGTGATTTATCCCTGGAGTAACATGGGTTAATAGCCTGATTCCTCATCATCAGACAAAACTGTGTGTTGTATCAGTGAACTTGTACGTGCTTTGAAATTGTGAATCACCTTCAGTGGATTTAAATATAATTATGATGGGGAATCAGTCATGTTTAAAAACTCACACAGTAAGTACACTGTAGAGCCGGACACAGGTGGTCTCTGGGCCAGTGGCAGATGCCTGACTCCCTCATTGAGTTTCTGTAAGAACTCTGTTCTTATCTCTGCTGTGGCCCTTACCACTTCATGATATGCATTGCATTTAATTTTTAACCAAAAATGTCATGTAGTGTACTTGCCCTCTTGGAAGGAAGGTGTCTGATATAGCTAAAGTCAGGTTTTTCCCCAAAACCCACAGCACTGCCTCCCCTAGACCCACGCGCGGTCATCCGGCCTTGCTGTGAGTGCTCTGTGTGCCAGGCTTTGTGGTGCCAGGGCCTGGCATTCTTTCCCTTTGGGCTCTGGTGAGGATGCAGACATGTGAAGACAGCAGTCACTGCAGGTGGGCTCCCTGGCATCAGAGGAATAAAGTTTGGTGAAAGTTCTGTATGAATAAAGTTTGTAAGGTGATCCCTTGGGATCAATGCTGGGAAAGGGGGAGTGGCCAGACCTGGATGAGGTGAGCTGTGAAGCTGGCCCCACAACTGCTGCCAAGCCCTGAGGGCACTTAGCCAGGCAGCTTTTCAGAGTGGACCTTGCCAGACTTTCTGCCCTCTGTCCAGTCGGTCACTGGACATGGGTGTCCCTGGAGTTCTCGTGGCCTTGAGTGAAGCACCCTCGAAGCTGGGACAAGCAGCCATCTCCTGGGTGCACCTCATCCACTGTGGTCGTGGCACGGGTCTGAAGTTCTCTGTTGGGGCATGCTTGTGGTGTGTGGGGCTCAGAGGAGGGGCCAGCTAGGGTGGAACAGTGACTTTTGGGAGAAGTGGCAGCTGAGATGGGCCAGACGGTATGTGTCCCACCAGACAGGGCAGGGCATGGAGATGCAAGACCCACATAAGAACTGGTGGGTCTACCTTTGAGAGAGAGACTGTGCAGGTCCATGGCCAGATCCTGGGGTGTTTACAGTGCTGAGGTATTTAGATGATTCTCTGGAGGCGGTAGGGAGCCATTGCAGGATTTTAAGGCAGTGTGTCTTACTTAGAACTGTCAAGTTGGCAACAGTGTGAGGTTGCATGGGAAGGAGACCAGCTGGGCAGCTGTTATGGGGTCCCTAAGGAAGATGAGTGCAGTCCTGGCCGTAGGTGTCTGGTTCAACTACTGGGTACTATGCATGAGATGAACAAAATGGGGCATGGGGGCAGAGAGTGTGCTGTGCATGACCATGACCAGGAGGCAGTGGCTCTGTAGCAGGGATCTCCTGGGAGGCATGGACCTGGGAGTCCTCAGCTGGTAGGTGACATTTGCATCCTAAATGTAGTATGAGAACTGTATGCAGAGAGTGGCCAGGGTCCTGAACTCTGAGGAGGGCAAAGTGGAAGAAGGAGCTGCTGTGGGCCTTCTGTTCAGACACATCACTGTACAATGTGAAAGCCTTCAGTACACGAAGTATGGCTTTTAAAATGAACAGAGGAACATGCCAGAACAAGGATGGAACTTCGTTTAGTGTGCAAGCTTTCTGGTGCTGTGGGACTGGGCTGTCAGGTAGCTGTGTTGAGCTCAAGCCCTGCAGCCCCACTGCTGCATCAGGCTTGCCTGGAACAGGGAGCAAGGATGAGACTCTTATCAGGACTCCGGATTCACTGCCCTCTCAGGGAGAGAGACTCAGCGAGCTCACCCCCAGCCCAGCAGAGCCAAGAGCACAGGAGACTTGAAATCTGAGCTCTGGTGTGGGTGTAATCCACGAGCTCGTCCCCAGCCTGTGACCCTGGCTGGCTCGCCTCAAAACACAGGGTGCCCACAGGAAGCAGCTCAGAAAGAAGACCATGAAATGCCTGGCATAAGGAGACATCACTGTGAGTGAGTAGGATTAGCACCCCAAGACCTTGAGATAATTGTGCAATCCAAAGAGCATTTCTAGAAATGGAGGCATTGTCTCAAACTTAAAAGTTAGTGGGTGATTAAGTAGCAGTTTAGACATAGCTGAAGAATTAGTGAATGGGAGGATAGAGCTTGAGAAATTATCAAGTAATTCTCAAGTAATTCTCAAGTAATATAAAAAGAAACAGAAAATGGAGCCAGGACCTCAGAGGGAATGTGAAAGGCCTATTATGATGTGTCTCCCATAAAAAGTGATAAACATGTTAAGTGTCATTATCCCCGTGGTTTTAAAACTGTCTGTTAATCTTTGCTATTTTTTCAGCCTTTCCCATGAAGATGATGAGTATTGAGGGACCACACAAACACTGAATGTTAAATTCCTGCCTTCAGATCCTAATCACTTTATTGTTGGCACAGTTGTGATGAGTGCTATGTCTTCTAAATATTTAAAATTTTTAAATTCTACTCTGTAGATATTTTAAATTCTACTCTTTAACTCATTCTTTGAGTTGCCTGGCAAATATCTTCACTAAAGGTTAACCTACTCTTTACTTTTATTATCATCTTGTTTAAATTGCATCAGGAATACCTTTATCCAGCCTCGCCCCTAACCTTTTCCTTAGTCACCTTTGCATCTCCCACCCCTAGGGCCTTGTAAGGCATGGCACCAGACAGGGTCCGAGAGAGTCTCCCAGACTGTTCACGCCCCAGCAGCACAGTGTGAGACCAGTGAAGGTGAATGTGATTGACTTTTTTCCATTTGGAGAACCAGTATTCCTGATAAGAAAGTCTGTTTTAAAGCACCAGTTCTACTGGGGCAGCACAACACCTGGTCATCTGCTGGAATTTTTAGCAGTTGGTCATCAGCAGTATCTGTGGGACACGCCTGCACATCTCACCCCTCTGAGGCCTACCTGTGCAGTTGGTACAGGCCCTTCACACAGCTATGGGATGGATCAGATGTTAGACCATTTTATTTTGACATGATTTCAGGCTCATAGGAAAGCTACTGCAGTCCAGTTCTCTGCCTGCCCTCCATGCAGGCTCCCCACATGCCACATGTTTGCCACCTGGCTCCATCCTGTCCCTCTGTGGGTGGGTTTACAGGTCCACCCTGAACAGATTGGTGTCAGTGTCCTCAGAGCAGGACCACCCTCTGCAGCTGTGGTCCTGTCCCCCACAGGTCTGATGGGGGTGACGTCCTTTCTGAGCAGAGCGCTGTCCCATCAGGAGCTCGTGCAGCTGCTGTGCCTCCTCAGGACCCTCTGACCTGGGCATCTCCCTCACACTCTCCGGCCTTGGCACTGCTGACAGGCATAGGATGCACCTCTGAATACACGTGCTGGTCCTCACGGCTAGATCCGGGTCTGTGCCCTGGCCTGTGCCCACTGGCGCTGTGCTGTGGGTCCTGCCCTTGCCTTTCTCATGCAGGTCCCGTGGGGACAGACAGGCATGTTGGGAGCCCTGATGCTCGTGGGGCCACTGGCAGCCTCGCCCTCCATTGTTGGTGGTGTCCAGCCCCTGCTGAGGCTCCGTGTGGAGCCAGCTGTTCCCTGGGCTCCTGGGCACACATGCCTGCCTTTATTACATGAATGGGCATGTGGCCTTTCACTCTTAGGTCCCAATCACTTATTCTGCTGCTCACACTGTCCCGGGGGGGTGTCCTCTGCCATCACTCGCAAGCCCTTCTTTGCCATCTGGTACAGTAAGCCCTGGAGTCAGCCACTTCTCCAGGGAGTCCTGGCTCCTGGTGGGAGAAAAACACCTGGAAACCAAGCCCTGGGCAGTAGACATGGTTGCTGTGCAGGCACTTTGATACCTCCTTTGATCTCTGCCTGTCAGATGTCTCTGATCCAGGTGACTTGGGCTCCCTGCCTCCCCAGCTGGGAAACATGCTCCAGGTATCTTGGTGCGCTTGATCTCACGTGCTCCATCCCAAGTACACAGATGACTCATGATTGTGCCTCATGCCTCTGTAGCTTTTGAGTACGTGAAGAATTAAATATATTGAGGAAAAAGGCATCAAGTGTCTCTTTCTGAGCTAAAAGGTTTTTCTTTGTGGAAATTTCAACCCAAGGAGACAGTATTAACCACATTACTGGTACCAATGTATGTGATTTTTCTAAAAAGGTGGCTTGTTTACTTCCATGGAGCCTGTCTTAATGGCATATGATCACATCAGCAATATTCAAGTTTGTTAAAAATAAATACTGTTTATGTATTCACTGAATTCATGAATTATCAGCCATTTGGGGAAGGGGAGGGGTGCAAGTGTATCGAATCTCCAAGAGGAGCACCTTTGTGTGGTGAGAGCAGAGGTAAGGCTCTCAGGAATTTCCCTGGCTGCTGAGATGAGAGGATGAAAGGAAAATGAGCCAGGATCAGCAGTTCCCTCCCTGCTTGGCCTGATTGTCTAACACACCACATGCTTTCTACCTGCAGAGTTTTATTGACATCTCTTGGTGCTGCCCCTTCAAATGTCTTGACTGTCATTTTGAGATTTGGGAAGCAGAAGAGAGGAGCTCATACATTCCTGATTGGCTGTCCTCTGTGCTCAGACTTGGCCCACACGCAGATGCCTCCTCCCCATTCCGGGCCCTGCAGGCGGCTCCTCCTGCGGGACTGGGCATGAAGCTCAGTTAATGGCAAGGCCCGTGCCTTTGTGAGCATGTCCTCTGTGGCTTCCGCATATGTTCAGTAAGCGAGCAAATAAAGGGAAGGGGTGCAGTCAGAGGCCTCTGGGCACCGAAGCCAAACCCTACCACGACGTGAGGAGTCCAGAAGTGAGCACACATCTTTAACACCTATTGATGTTTCATCATCAAAGCAGAAATTCAGACTATTTTTGGTGACAGTGGTTGACGCTTAATCAACAGCCAGCTGTCAGAAAGTGCTACCTTATCACCCACCCACTCACGTTGCAATCAGAGGGCTCAGGGCCTCCATAAGACCCCCAACTGCTTGCTGCCTGGCTTTGAAAAAAGAACTTCAACTTGAAAAATGAGTCAGACCTCTCTGTGGCATCTCATTACACTGATGGACAGTGACTGCAATTGGGGAGGTGAGGACTTGATTATATGGGTGAATGTTGAAACCACAAGGTTGTTCATGTGAAATCTTCGTAAGATTGTATATCAATGATACTTTAATCCAAAAAAAAAAAACCAGAGTCAGACCTTTGTACCCCTCTGTCCTCCCACCATGGAATCCAGGCTGCCTCCAGGAGGAGAGGCTCACTTGGGGAGAGCAGCTCCTTTCGGCGGAGAGCTGTGAGCTCAGCT